ACATCTATATTAATTATGCACAATCATCTGTTGTTACTAGAACTAGATCTATATAAATTATACAAAATAATCTTCTGTTACTAGAACTAGATCTATATTAATTATACACAATAATCTGTTGTTAATAGAACTACATCTATATTAATTATGCACAATCATCTGTTGTTACTAGAACTAGATCTATATTAATTATACACAATAATCTGTTGTTAATAGAACTACATCTATATTAATTATGCACAATCATCTGTTGTTACTAGAACTAGATCTTTATTAATTGTACACAATAATCTGCTGTTACTAGAACTAGATCTATATTAATTGTACACAATAATCTGTTGTTACTAAAACTAGGCCTATATTAATTGTACACAATAATCTGCTGTTACTAAAACTAGGCCTATCTTAATTATGCACAATAATCTGTTGTTACTAGAACCAAATCTTTATTAATTATACACAATAATCTGTTGTTACTAGAACTAGATCTATATTAATTATACACAATAATCTGCTGTTACTAAAACTAGGCCTATCTTAATCATACACAAAAATCTGTTGTTACCAAAACTAGATCTATCTTAATTATACACAAAAATCTGTTGTTACCAGAACTAGATCTATCTTAATTATACACAAATATCTGTTGTTACTAGAACTAGATCTATCTTAATTACACACAATAATCTGTTGTTACTATAACTAAACTTATCTTAACTATACACAATAATCTGTTGTTAGTAGAACTAAATCTATCTTAATTATACACGATAATCTGTTGTTACAAGAACTAATCTTGTCTTAATTATACATAATAATATGTTGTTACTAGAACTAAACCTATCGTAATTATACATAATATGTTATTACTAAAACTAGATCTATATTAATTATACATAATAATCTGTTGTTAGTAAAAGTAGATCTATATTAATTATAGACAATAATCTGTTGTTACTAGAATTAGGCCTATCTTAATTATAGACAATAATCTGTTGTTACTACAACTAGGCCTATCTTAATTATAGACAATAATCTGTTGTTACTACAACTAGGCCTATCTTAATTATACACTATAATCTGTTGTTACTAAAACTAGATCTATATTAATTATACACAATAATCTGTTGTTACAACAACTAGGCCTATCTTAATTATACACTATAATCTGTTGTTACTAGAACTAGATCTATATTAATTATACACTATAATCTGTTGTTACGAGAACTAGATCTATCTTAATTATACAAATAATGTGTTGTTACTAGATCTAGGCCTGTCTTACTTGTTTACAGTTGATCATTGTTACCAGAACTAAACCTATCTTGATCAAAATTTTCTAAACATTACCACTCTGAACAGCTTCAGTTACATTACAAAAACAGACTTTACTAAAGATTGCCAGCCTGATTAGCTTTATCATTAATATTAACTTTCAATCATGCCAGCTATGTAGTTAGATAAAAACTTCAAATAATTTGATTAGTTGGATTTACTAACTAGCTTTACATAGTCATTATGGTTGTTTCAATATCTTTTATTGCATAACAGAAGTATAAAGAGCATGCTATATCAAAAATAGCACCTCATATGAGATTTCTTCTTACTTTGCATGCTGTTTGTGTATAATAACAAATAGATAATGTGTACAGTACTATAGAAAGATACTGAACACTATTCTAATCCATCTTTAGTTGCCCAATATTGATTAACTGTTGTTCTCTCCTTTCTTTATACTCTGCATATTCTAGTAATTCTTGAAGTTTAAACATATAAATACACTCCATGCACATAATAAGAAATACAAAGAAAATAATTAATTTACTTACCACATCATTAGTTAATGCATAGCAAGACAAAAGGCCTCCAACAAATCTGATATTGGTCTCAAAAACTGATATCTCAAAATGCTACAAGAAAAAGAAACATAATAATAATAATGTTTAACTGAACAAAGAGAGAAATATTCTGGTTACTCTAACTCAATTGTTTTTAAGCAATCTGAAAATGCTGTCAGTTTTAAACTTAAAATCATACACATGATGGAAACTTTGTCTTCACTGATTCTTAACAGTGGTCACTCACTTGTGGAGATGTGTATATAGGATGTGATTTAACCCACTCCTAAAATCACAACCCATGGTTTGTTTTATTTAAATTACTAACTGCATGTAATGTATAAAATTGCCATGATACCAATAACTTCGCTGAACATCCAAAGGCAATTGCATGTTTTCTCTTGTATCTTGAGAAGTACAAAAATGAAACACAAAATACCTGTCCTCTAACTCCATGATCAAAATCAAGATGTTCATCAATCCAGTCTCGCGCTTTCTTGTAATCTTCCTTCAATCCCATAAGGAACAATGTGTCCAAGCCATCCACAATAGTAGCACCCATGGCTGTCTTCCCAAATATTCCAGCAGAATGGCCTCTCCTGCTAATTGGTCTTAATTCATTTTGACCAAATGCATAGTAAACATAATTATCCCATGCATGTTTCATCATCTAAGAATAAAGATAGGCATCAGATGATTAAAATTAATATATATATATTGGCCACTTCCACATAAACACATACATACAATTCAGCAAACTTCAATAATCGAGTCTCCGTTTCATAAGAAGCCACCAACGACATTTAATAATCCAGGATGTATTTCATGAGAAGCCACCAACAACATTCAATAATCCAGCCTGTATTTCATGAGAAGCCACCAACTACATTCAATAATCCAGGCTGTATTTCATGAGAAGCCACTAACAACATTCATTAATCCAGTCTGTATTTTATGAGAAGCCACAAACAACATTCAACAATCCAAGCTGTGTTTCATGAGAAGCCACCAACAACATTCAATAATACAGCTGTTTTTCATGAAGAGCCACTAACAACATTCAATAATCCAGTTTATGTTTTATGAGAAACCACTAACAACATTCAATAATCCAGTCTGGGTTTCATGAGAAACCACCACCAACATTCAATGATCTATGCGGTGTTTCATGAAAAGCCACCAACAACATTCAATAATCCAGGATGTATTTCATGAGAAGCCACCAACAACATTCAATAATCCAGTCTAAGTTTCATGAGAAGCCCCAAAAACATTCAATAATCCAAGCTGTGTTTCATGAAAAGCCACCAACAACATTCAATAATCCAGGTTATGTTTCATGAGAAACCACCAACAACAATCAATAATCCAGTTTATGTTTCATGAGAAACCACTAACAACATTCAATAATCCAGTCTGGGTTTCATGAGAAACCACCAACAACATTCAATGATCTATGCTGTGTTTCATGAATAGCCACCAACAGCATTCGATAATCTAGTCTACGTTTCATGAGAAGCCACCAACAACATTCAATAATCCAGGATGTATTTCATGAGAAGACACCAACAACATTCAATAATCCATTCTGTGTTTCATGAAAAGCCACCAACAACATTCAATAATTATGAAATAGAGCCTGATTTATTGAATGTTGTTGTTAGCTTCTCATGAAACATAAACTGGATTATTGAATGTTGTTGGTGACATCTCATGAAACTTAGATTGGATTATTGAATGTTGTTGGTGGCTTTTCATGAAACACGGCCTATATTATTGAATGTTTTTGGTAGCTTTTAATGAAACACCAACTGGATTATGGAATGTTGTTTGTGGCTTCTCATGACACGTAGACTGGATTATCGAATGTTGTTGGTGGCTTTTCATGAAACACAGACTGAATTATTGAATGTTGTTGGTGGTTTCTCAAGAAACCCAGACTGGATTATTGAATGTTGTTGATCGCTTCTCATGAAACATAAACTGGATTATTGGATGTTTTTGATGACATCTCATGAAATACAGACTGGATTATTGAATGTTGTTAGTGGCTTCTCATCAAACAAAGACTGATTGAATATTGTTGATGGCTTATCATGAAACATAGAATGGATTATTGAATGTTGTTGGTGGCTTCTTAATCCAATTGGTGTTTCATGAGAAGCCACCAACAACATTCAATAATCCAGTCTGTGTTTCATGAAAAGCCACCAACAACATTCGATAATACAGTCTACATTTCATGAGAAGCCACCAGCAACATTCAATAATCCAGTCTAAGTTTCATGAGATGTCACCAACAGCATTTAATAATCCAGTTTATGTTTCATGAGAAGCCACCAACAACATTTAATAATCCAGTTTACATTTCATAAAAAGCCACCAACAACATTCAGTAATGCAGGCTGTATATCATGAGAAGCCACCAACAACATTCAATAATCCAGTTTACATTTCATGAAAAGCCACCAACAACATTCAATAATCCAGTCTGTGTTTTATGAGAAGCCATCAACAACATTCAATAATCCAGGCTGTATTCAATGAGAAGCCACCAACAACATTCAATAATCCAGTCTGTATTCCATGAGAAGCCACCAACAACATTCAATAATCTAGTCTGTGTTTCATGAAAGCCACCAACAACATTCAATAATCCAGTCTGTGTTTCATGAGAAGCCATCAACTACATTCAATAATCCAATCTTTATATCATGGGAAGCCACCAACAACATTCAATAATCCAGGCTGTATTCCATGAGAAGCCAGCAACAACATTCAATAATCCAGTTTACATTTCATGAAAAGCCACCAACAACATTCAATAATCCAGTTTATGTTTCATGAGAAGCAACCAACAACATTCAATAATCCAGTCTGGGTTTCATGAGAAACCACCAACAACATTCAATAATCCAGTTTACATTTCATGAAAAGCCATCAACAACATTCAATAATCCAGTTTACATTTCATGAAAAACCACCAACATTCAATAATCCAGTCTCTGTTTCAAGAGAAGCCACCAACATTCAATAATCCAGTCTCTGTTTCAAGAGAAGCCACCAACATTCAATAATCCAGTCTCTGTTTCAAGAGAAGCCACCAACAACATTCAATAATCCAGTTTACATTTCATGAAAAGCCACCAACAACATTCAATAATCAAGTCTAAGTTTCATGAGATGTCACCAACAACATTCAATAATCCAGTTTACATTTCATGAGAAGCAACCAACAACATTCAATAATCCAGTCTGAAGTTGGTGGCTTCTTATGAAACATAGACTGGACTATCGAATGTTGTTGGTGGCTTCTCATGAAACGTAGACTGGATTATCAAATGTTGTTGTGGCTTTTCATGAAACACAGCATAGATCATTGAATGTTGTTGGTGGCTTTTGATGAAACACAGCATAGATCATTGAATGTTGTTGGTGGTTTCTCATGAAAGGATTATTGAATGTTTTTGGTGGCTTCTCATGAAACACAGACTGGATTATTGAATGTTCCTGGATTATTGAATGTTGTTGGTGGCTTCTCGTGAAACATAAACTGGATTATTGAATGTTTTTGGTGGCTTCTCATGAAACACAGACTGGATTATTGAATGTTTTTGGTGGCTTCTCATGAAACACAGACTGGATTATTGAATGTTGTTGGTAGCTTTTAATGAAACACCAACTGGATTATGGAATGTTGTTTGTGGCTTCTCATGACACGTAGACTGGATTATCGAATGTTGTTGGTGGCTTTTCATGAAACACAGACTGGATTATTGAATGTTGTTGGTGGCTTCTCATGAAACATAAACTGGATTATTGAATGTTGTTGGTGACATCTCATGAAACTTAGATTAATGTAATTCAAGAGAAGCCACCAACAACATTCAACAATCCAGGCTGTATTTCATGAGAAACCACCAACAACATTCAATAATCCAATCTAAGTTTCATGAGATGTCACCAAAAACATTCAATAATCCAGTTTATGTTTCATGAGAAGCTAACAACAACATTCATTAAATCAGGCTGTATTTCATGAGAAGCCACCAACAACATTCAATAATCCATTCTATGTTTCATGATAAGCCATCAACAATATTCAATAATCCAATTGGTGTTTCATGAGAAGCCACCAACAACATTCAATAATCCAGTTTACATTTCATGAGAAGCCACCAACAACATTCAATAATCCAGGCTGTATTTCATGTGAATCCACCAACAACATTCAATAATCCAGTCTAAGTTTCATAAGAAACCAACAACAATATTTAGTAATCCAAACTGTATTTCATGAGAAGTCATCAACAACATACATAATCCACTCTGTGTTTCATGAGAAGCCAACAACAACTTGTGTTTCATGAGAAGCCACCAACTGTTATATAACTAGTTAGTTTCAATGATATCAGGTTATTACAACCAAACTTAGAAAGTATGAAAGGGAAGGAGATTATTAAAAAATGTACAAGCACTTTGTACATACACTACAGAGTACATAACAGAAAACTAAGATATATTTTTAGCAAAATAGAAATTGTTCGTAACATCATTATGAACTGTTCTAAACAATGAAATAGACATTACTTATATTTTGTTTAACAGATTGTAATATTTAGTATTATTGTACTTTAATATTATCATTATTATAAGAACATTTCCTGCTCTGATCACATGAGGATTTCCACTTCAGGAGTACATCACATTAAAACTGTTTTAAAGGCAAGCCCTCTGTTCTTTTCTTAGAACTATCTTTAGGCTATAGGAGACGTTCATGAAAATGGACAGATAGCTTGATTATAAAACAGTTTTCATGTGGTTTAACTCTACTTTATTCATCTTATTATTCTTCCTTCCCATTATTCAAAGATGTCTGTTGACTCAGATTGTACATAAATGGACCTAACAATTTTAAAAAGACTTCCACTATTTTCATTCCAACATCCTACAGTAATATTTGATAATTTAATCTTAATATATTAGAGCTTTCATATTCATAAATACAGAATTGAAATACAAAAACGAAATAGCTGGTACACAAGACTGCTCTTACTTCTTTTATTCTATTTCTTCTTTCTCTCATTACAGGGTCAGTAGGTTCTCTACCATGGCTTTCATTTATTACATTTCCTTTATCACCTTCTTCCATCTTTATTTTGAGTGGTAAAGATTCACTGTTATACCGATTATTTAGATCTACATTTTTAGCATACTTGTATTCTGACTGTTTTTTATTTTCTATTTTAACCTGTACAATATGATTATTTGTAGGCAATTCCTTCTCTACCTTTTCACTCTCTATATTATTTCCATTTTTTTCTTTATCAATGTCTTCTTGAATTTTCTGATTTAATTTAACTCTGTCTTCAAATCTATGCGGATCTAATCCTACTCTATTTACATGTCCATGTCTTACAGCATTCAAATTATTCACCTCATCGTGTGGCGGAGAGGGCAATAGAAAATCATGACTCGCATCTTTAATATGTTCGTAAGCAGTGTGGATTGTGCTGCCAGTACCACTACGAAATTCTGGTAAAAAATATAAAGACCCCATACATATAACACCAAAAGTACCAAAAACCGAAAATAATATAAATTTTTCACGTAACCTAAGCTTTTTCCGTCCTGAAAGTGTAAGCGGAACACCATTAAGATATCGTCCATACATCGGTAAAATTGCACCGGAAACCATCTATCTCTTAGTGCTTTACCAGCTGTTGCTGAGTGACCATATTACGGGGAAACATTCTAGGCTTAGTGAGCAGAAAAACAAACATGCAAACAAAACCGTAACCACGGTATCTGTGAGTAGACTGTTTATTTTGTACGGCTTACATATATCAATATATGTATATACGTAAATATATGTTGTATATTGGAATATATATATATACGGTATGGTATTTTTCAAAATAGTATATGCTGGATACAAAATTGGCAGAGTATTCCAAACACAATAAAAAAATCATTGTTGCAAAAATGTTATGATTATATAACATTTAAAAGTAAAATAAAAAAGAGGTTTATAACGAAGATAAATATATTAAATAACGAAATATCTATACTCATAAAACTGAAAACAAATACTGCACATAAACTTTGTAGTAACAAATGTTATATATAATTGTTTATATAATTATTATTATTTATAAAACCCATACGTCTACATTTCTTCAATCCTTTGAGAAAGAGGATACATTCTTTGTCTATAAGTAGTTTAAGATTATTTGAAAGTATGTAATAATATTGTTACGTCTCCGTTTGTTAACT